GGGAAGAGGCACTCGGCCTCATTTTACCCAGTACAGTTGTTTGCTGTGAACTCACGGTGTGTGTAGTCCCAGATTTACAGCTCTCAGCAACCGTCAGATATTGGAAATGCCTCCCCTCCCCCAAGAACATCTTGTTTGGTCTATCCTTCCCCAGTCCCATACTGAAGTTCCATTTGCCATTTTTATCCCTTATAAAGGTTTAAGCTTCCTGCTTCAAGACTGGCAACAACTTCCCACCTGTCAGACTGGCAAGAACTTCCCACCTGCCAAACTGGCACCTTTCTGTTCAGTCATCAGAGAGACCACTTTCCTGCAGTGCCAGTCAGAGGCCCAGGGCCAAGCTCTGCCCTTCTGGGGACTGTTTTCCATTGCCCAGACAGCTCATTCCCAGCTTTTATCTTTACGAATGTATATCAGTTGATGGCACTAGGGTAACATTAGCTTACAGCACCACCACCAGATGTGCAGTCACCAAGGACCAACAACCACCCGCCCCTTGTCCTGATCCAGACTCCTGGTAACCACCTTCGTTCCATTTGCTTATTTCTATATATCCCACAGATAAGTGCAGTCATACGGTGTTTGTCTTTCTCTTCTAATTTCTCTTAGCATCACCCTGTCAAGGGTACAGCAACCCCTGTGTTGCTGCAGATGGCATGATTTCACCTGTTTATGGCTGAGTAATATTCCACCACACATGCATACCACATCTCTTTATCAGTAAATCCCTTGTTGCTGGATCATCCATTGTTTCCATATCTTGGCTATTGTGAATATTGCTGCAGTCATGCAGGGGTGCATGTATCTTTCATAGTCTTTAGGTCCCACCCAGAAATGGGATTTCTGGATTGTATGGAGGTGTGTTTTTAATCTTTTGAGGGCCCTCCATACTGTTCCATAGAGGCTGCAGCTCAGAATGTAATCAAGTGGCTGTTCTGTATCATCCAAATGTTGTCTCAAAGTGAATAGACTTGGGCGTTCATCATCTCTGAAGAGTGTTTAATTTGGGGATGAAAAAGCATTAAAAGTCCTTACTATTAAACTAAAATCTAGCCACAAAAACAGCCGATTTCACTGGGGGGTGGGGGAAGGGGTGTGTGAACATGGAGCAGGCAGGAGGCATCCCTCACTCAGCAAGCAGCAGGGCTGAATGGACGGCGCGAGGCTCACTGTGCACAGGGAAGCCATGCTTGAGACTGAAGTCACATTAGGACATGCGTTTCCCCTGATTTCCATTCAGAACCCCCACCCTTACCTCCCATCTGTCTGCTCCTCTTCCACCCTGCTGGGCTACCTGTGTTCAGAATAGGAATAGAGGAGCTTTGGGAGATGCTGGCCACAGAAAACACCCTTGCAGGCTGTGATATTCTCCCCGAGGCCAAGGCTCTTTAGCCTCAGAGTGTGTATTGCTGGAACCCAAGGTGTCAAGGCCCTTGCCAGTGGCTCCACCCTCACACGTCTCCTCCTGGACCCGAGAGAGGCCTTGGGATGCAGTGTCCTGGTTTTGTCCTTCTGCCACCACCTCCCACAGTGACGTTTGTGTGAGTTCAGTTAGAAGCTTGGGCCTCTGCAGGGTAGAGCGCCCCCGGTATCAGGTGTCTTGGAGATGCCAGGGCCGGAGGGGAGATGCGCCCACACTTCTACTGCAGATGGTGTGGGCTTTTAGCCGTTAGTGGACAGGGTCTCTATTGTGGTTCAAAAGATGGGGCTTCCAGCACCAGTTCGCCCCCTGCCTGGGCCACCATGGCAGGCCTTGGGTCCAAGGAGCCCATGGGCCTTGGCAACCGCCCTGCAGGGATTCTCGTATGTTTCCTGGGCCAGCACCACTGACTGTCCAGCTCCCCAGCATTCATAGGCAGCTCCCCAACTGTCCACTTCTCCACTTGTAGGAAGCAGCCTGCATTTCCCTCTCGACTTTCTGGCGCTACTACAGCAAAGTGCTAGATTCACAGATTAGCATTGATCAAATGATGCAGGTCACACATCTTGTGTGAGGTGTCTGGGGAGCATCCGCCCACCTCAGAGCCGTCACCTCTCCGACAGAGGAACCGTCGCTCTGCACTTGCAGACACCTCTTCAGCTGGAGTTCAATCTCTGGCCAGGGAGGTGACCCGCATGGCGCAGCAGACCTCTCCTGTCTCTCCGCTGCTCCCGTCAGCAGTGTACTTTGTCAATCTGCCTGTTCTGCTCCCCACTCTGTCTCTGGTGAATCCTGTAACCACCCCTGCACCTCTGGCCTGTACCCCAGTTAAGAGCCAGTTAGGCTGGGCAAGCTCTGAGAGGCCACACGGGCTGTCCAGGAGGGATCTTGGAGAATTAAACACATTGCTGTTTAACTTTGATCCATTTCTTGTGGGCACTGGTCGTGCCTGAGGAAGCCTTTCTGTAAAACTGGCCCAAAAACACTCTGTGGGGTCTTTTTTCATTCCTCAAGATTATTCCCTGTGTAATGTATTCTTTTTTTCCTGGGGCTGGCTGTCCACGATCGTTTTATCAAAAGCTGGAAGGTGTGAGATGGTAGACACCTCCTCGTCACACGAGACAGGAGCTCACTCTGCGTCGTCTTGGACCTTGACCCACGTTCTTTCCAAGCAGGGAACTCAGCCTTGCAGGGGCAGCTTGATGGTTTTGCACTGCTGAATGTTGCTCTTTCCTACCCAGGATGTAGCTTGTGCCTTAGGGCTTCTTAAAGTAAATGACATGCTCTGGTGACATCCGTGGGCTACAGTTGAGCTCCACGGCAGTACTGGGGGGCCTTCCTGGGACCCTGCAGGCTGGCCAGCCCGCCCCGAGAGGTGTATTTACAACTGGATGGCAAGTGTCTCTCAGCCGAACATTTGACAGCGAGCACTCGCTGTGTCCACTGCATGTGGGACCCGGCCCTCAAGCCTCACTGCTCTTGCAGTGTTGCTGCAACTTTTTGCTTTTAAGCTGAGCTGGACTTGCCACTTCTTGGTACTGGACATTTTCCTTGGGCATCTAGAATTTCAGGTTGCATCACAAAAAGCAGCTGCTCCTGTTCTTATTTTTTTATAGACTTATTATTTATGCATATAAAAACTGGGGTATAAGCCAGAGGTGCTGGAGGTGAGAGGATTCACCAGAGACAGAGTGGGGGAGCAGAACAGGCAGATTGAAACACACTGCTGAGGGGAGCAGTGGGCAGGTTAGGAGAGGTCTGTTGCACCCTGTGGGTCAGGTAACTCATGGCCAGTAGCTTCATAGTGCTGAGACTTAACCCCTTGGCTCACCAAGGAGGCCATGGTGTATGATTTTTAGTTTAGTTAAATGTGGTGAGGCTATACTCTCTGCTAGATATTTGTTATGAAAATTTAAGATTGCTGACATCCCAGAGAAGCAGTATTGCTCAAATACGAGTGGTCTGTGAGCTGGGTTTGCACAGAAGCTGCCTTGGGACGGGAACCCTGGCTGTGGGACCCCTGGGCACGCCTGTGGTGGGCCTGTGAGTCTGTAGATGACGCGGCTGGCCCTGCGGTGCCTGCGTGCATGTGCGCTGTTGGGATGGTTTAACGCTGTGCCTCCGAGGAAGGGCTCTTGTAGGTACGTGTAATAGTTCTTCTTGCATGCTCGCCTAACATGGCAGAAGACTGTGGTGTTCTCGCAGGTGTTTTCAAATGCTGTAACCTCTGTTCAAAAGGAGCTGGTCTTCCTGTGAGTCAGCGGAGCCGGTGGGCCACCGAGCCTCGGTCCTGCTTCCCGCTCTCCTTGTTTTCCAGAGTTCGGTTACTAAATAATTCATTTCCTATGGGCGTGTAAACAGCTATTTATAATGCTCGAGCCCTCGTGGAAAGGGTGCTTTTGTCTACAAAATGTTAGTGTTTGTCTGAGCTGTTTATAGCATTGTTTACTTCAAAGCAATCTCAGGCTTGCCAGTGTAAGTGGGGAGCCCGAACATGATGACACGTAAACAGCTGCCTGGCACCACAGTGAGAGTAAATACCGGGAAAGGGCAGGGCCTGAGCTGATAGCAGGCTGAGGCTTCCTGCCCCTGGGCACCTGCTGCCAGCCCTCAGAGCCCCCCAGAGCGCCGGGGGGCAGAACTCATGGCAGCCTAAGGACACAGAGGAAGCGGGACCCCGCACCGGAAACAGACCACGGAGGGCCCCCTCTGACCTTGGGCTGTGGTGTGGGTGGGGCCCGGAGCTCCGCCAGCCGCTTGTCCTGGGCCAGTCCCTTCTCCCTTCATGTCCGGCCCGCAGGCCCCGTGCCTCTCTGGTCGGCTCTGCTGCCCCTTGCGCATGCATGGCTGCTTTCGCTTCTCCGTCCAAAAATAAAACCAAACAACCCCCCCACTCGGCGAGCACGTCTGACTCGTCCCTGCGTGAGGCCTTAAATCTGCCTGCGGAGTCCGAGTCTTGTAGCGGTGGCCCCAGTTCCCGTAACTGACGTCCTCAGTTACCCAGTCCTCGCGGCGCAGTCTTCCATGAGGACTCCACGGGAAGAGCATGCCCATACCACAGAAACGGGGCTGCCGCAGTGACTGGGGGAGCCGGGGTGGGGGGGTGTCACACTGAGTGCTGGACCGTGCTGCCCTGTGTGGCCGCTGAGCCCACTGGCCGTGGCTGTCTGTGTTGGCCAGCCAAGACCCCAGGTGACTCTTCCCAGCCAAGGATGACTTTCTTCCATTCCTCCTTCCCTCCTCCCTTTCTTCAGGTCAGTGAGCACATGGTTTAGAGGGTAAAAAGGGGCTGCAGTCCACGAGGAGTCTAGCTGAGTCTGTCACCAGACACCGAAGTAGGATTGAGAAACACAAGTCACCGCCCCAGCCCCGTCTGTGCAGCCCCTGGTGCTGGGCTTCAGCTGAGCCGCTTGCACCTGCTGTCAGAGTGTGCGGCCGCCGTCAGGGGCTCTTGACCCCTTCTTTAGTCTCTCCTGGAAGGGCCCCCTGCTCCCGTGGGACTTGGGGTGGCGGTACAGCTGTTTGCAGGGTGCTCTAGGCCACATGCAGGTCCTAAGACGTGGGTGGGAGCCCAGGGAACATGCAGGAGCTGGCCCAGGGGGCAGCTGTGACGGATGTTCCAGGGGCCTTAGGAGAATTCTGTGTGGCCCAGTTTGCTGTGAGCCTAAAGCTGGTCTGAAAACTCTTTCTCAAAATGTGGGGAAAAGGACACATGAAACCAAACCAGTAACAAGCCCTGGGAATCTGACCATGAACTGAGGCCTGAGGCTGCAGGGTCCGGGGGAAACTGGGATTGTGGCTTCCAGGTGATGGACAGATGATGGTCAAAGAAGAAATCACCAGGACACCTGTTAAGGAGCTCTGAGGGCCGGGGAGCGTGGGCTCACCTGCCAGCAAAAAACGTGTGGGTTTGTGGCCCAGGAGCCGGGGGCAGGCGCGAGTCTGGTGTGTCCCCAAGTCTATGTAGTGTCATCCACATCCTGCGCTTTCCCCAAGGTGGACTCTGAGAACTTCTACCCCAAGTATTTAAAGAAAATCAGCTATTTTCTCTTAGCAAGTGACATGTTTAGAAATAAAATATAATAACTTTAAATTAAGGCAACAACTGATCTTAGCTGCATCTAAATGCTCCTGTGGTGTTTGACTCTAGAAATACTGAAAACTGGAATGTTTGTTTCACTAAGCCTGTTTTGATTCTGTACGTTATGGAACGTGTGAGTACTTGTGCTGCTTTATTTCTGTTTGGCAGTGAACACACTTCTGACTCGTTACTTAATAGTGCCCCCACGGAAGTAAGTGCTGGAAAGCACGGCTTAGGACTCACTTCCCCTCCAGTGGCTGGGGGCTCACGGTCAGCGAGCAGTCAGTGCAGACACTGGGCAGGAGCCCGTGAGCCCACCCTTGGGTGCCGTCCTCCTCCGCACCATTGGGAGCCGCCACAAGGCCTGCCCGGGGCCCAGGTCCACAGCATGGACCATCACAGGGGGTGTCTAGGTTTTCTTGTTAAGGGGAGTGGCCACCCGCAGCTGGTGAGCCATAGACCCGGGCATCTGTCAGTCAGGGTGTGTGGGCCCGGGCCTGGGCCGAGTGCCATGTCCGTGACACCTTGCGTCCTGGGTGTCCTGGGGCTCGGTGCTTCTGCCCAGGTCCAGTCGGCGGTGGGTGCAGATGATCCACGGCCCGCACTCTGAGAAGCACCTGGACGAGCCATTTATTTTAGATTGTTACCGAACGGAATAGCAAATGCTGATGTTCCAACTACGTGCGGGGTGGTCAGGATCCGTTGCGCCGTGCAGGAGCTGGTGGCAGGGCACTGCCCAGGTTCAGGGTCGAGAGCTGCAGGAAGATCTCTGGGGCCTCCCAGGAACCTGGAAAAGCCAGGGGGTCCCTCGAAGGCCAGGAGGAATCTTCTGGTGAAGATATTTACTCCAGGATTCTTGCTCCTTCTGAAAGAACTCATCTTCTCCTAGGTTCTGTGTGCAGTGCTGGGCAGGAGTCTGAACCACCCCCGGCCGAGTCTTCTCAGCACCGCGGCGCCCCCTGACGGTGAGCTCTGCAGCCTGCGCCCCTTCCTCCAGCCTGGGTGCCCTGTGCCGGTCCTCACTGGGGCGGGCCTGTCCGCTCGCCTGCTCTGGCTTAGGTCCTCCCTGTTCACATCCCTGATGCCTCAGGTATCACCCCCTCCCCACAGTCTCCCACCAGAGGACGTCCGGGGTGGTCATGGAGGCCGTCTAGGCCCCGAGTCCAGGCGTAGGCGTCCCTTGCGGAGTGTTCTGCCGAGAAGCTGCAACCACCGCTGTATGCTTTTTTTTTCTCCACAGAAGTGACCATCAGTTACAGACATGGCCTGCCCTTGGTAACGCTCACGCTGCCCTCCCGCCGGGAGCGCTGCCAGTTTGTGGTCAAGCCCCTGCTGGCTACAGTGGGCTCCTTCCTCCAGGACCTGCAGAACGAGGACAGGGGTGTCAGCAGTGTGGCCATCTGCACCACAGGTACAGCTGTTTGTGTCCACTCTCTCTTCTTCTGACCCTTTGTTAGGTTGATGGTTGGGTAGAGGGGATGATTGTTAAATTCATGGGATAGTGATGGTTCCCTTTACTGAGACATTCATTCTTACATATCATGAATTTTTTTTTTGAAGATTTATTTATTTGTGCATACAGAGCTGGGGTACAAGCCAGAGCCTCAGGGGCGGCGAGAGGCTTCACCAGAGACAGAGTGGGGAGCAGAACAGGCAGATTGATGAAGTACACTGCTGAGGGGAGCAGCGGGCGGGTCAGGAGAGGTCTGCCACGCCATGTGGTCACCTCCGGGGCAGGCAGGAATCGAACTCATGTGGAAGTGGCTTTAGCTTCTCACTGCTGTGCTTTAACCCACTGTGCCACCAGGAAGGGCCTCATGAATATTTTTTTTTGAAGATTTATTTATTTGTGCATACAGAGCTGGGGTACAAGCCAGAGCCTCAGGGGCGGCGAGAGGCTTCACCAGAGACAGAGTGGGGAGCAGAACAGGCAGATGGATGAAGTACACTGCTGAGGGGAGCAGCGGGCGGGTCAGGAGAGGTCTGCCACACCATATGGTCTCCTCCGGGGCAGGCGGGAATCGAACTCATGCGGAAGTGGCTTTAGCTTCTCAGTGCAGTGCTTTAACCCGCTGCGCCACCAGGGAGGGCCCCTCATGAATATTTTTTTAAAGATTTACTTATGTACACAGAACTGGGGTACAGGCCAGAGGTGCAAGGGCAGTAAGAGGCCTCACCAGAGACAGAGTGGGGAGCAGAACAGGCAGATTGATAAAGCACACTGCTGAGAGGATTAGCGGGCAGGTCAGGGGAGGTCTGCCGCGCCTTGTGGGTGACCACCTACAGGTTGGTCCAACTGGCATGGAAGCGGCAGCCTGCAGTGCTGTGTCCCCAATCTATGTGCCACCAGGGAGGACCACTATTATGAATATTTAAAAAAATAAACTGTTGAACAAAACTTTAAGAGTAAGGCAAGTTTATAGTGATTCATTTCATAAACTTAGCCTGAAATTTTTTGAGAAAATTTTAGTGCAAATTTTCACCAAAATTTGAATAATGGAAAACAAAGTACAGTTTTGATGATTAAAATAGCCAATGAAGAATTAAGATATAGAAACAGTTCATTTATCTCTGTTACAGAGCAGTTATATTTGTAGTATATTTTAGACAGAATTAGTTTTCAGGAAAAGAGTGCATTTAAATTCAACCCAGACGTACTCATTTAGACCTTTTAAATTTAGGATGCGACTTTCATGTCCTCATGGTTTGACATGGTCTTTGATTCACAGAGTTAAACATACAATAAATGATTTTTTTTAACCTAAACCCCCCCCCCATATAGAGGCTACCAATATAGATCCATTTATGAATAAATTTATTTTATTGTAGTATTACATGTTTGGAATAAACTTACTTAAAACTTATTGATTACTGTTACAGGGAATACTCTTCTTTCCTTGCCAAGGTGAGAACCTAACATAACCAGGACACATTCTATAACATAACCAGGACACATTCTAGATGCTAGAGGTAGAGAGCCAGAGCTAGAACCTGCTGCCTTCACACTGCTTGCATAAAGAAGCGATGGCGTGGGCCCTCCCTGGTGGCGCAGAGGGTTAAAGTGCAGCACTGCGAAGCTGGCCATAGCTGCTTCAGTGTGAGTTCGACCACCCTGGAGGAGGTGACCCACAGGGTGCGGCAGACCCCGCCTGCTACTGCCCTCAGCAGTGTACTTGGTCAGCCGTCCTTTCAGCTCCCCACTCTGTCTCTGGTGAGTCCTCCCACCGCCCTACAACTCTAGCCTGTACCCCAGTTCTGTGTGCATAATTAAATACATCTTAAAAAAAAAAAGAAAAAAAGCGTGGCATGTGACCTACTAGGTGAGTGTCCCTGAATGTGAGGCCTTGTGCTCACAGAGGCCAGGCAGCCAGCTGTATGGTGGAGGAGGGCGCTCCCGGTGTCAGGGTGGCCAGCTGCATGGGATAGCGGTGGGGGGAGCGGGAAGTTATTGTAAGGATCTTGGGTCCTAGCTGGAAGGGAAGCTTTCTTCCCGGGAAAACCAGGGTCAGAGAACAAGGTTTTAGTCCTGTGCCCTTGTACAGCTGAGGGGAAATTTCCCCTGAACGTTTGGGTGGTTCTCAGCTGACTGAGCAGATTAAGATCAGACAGATTATCCCATAGGGATTACAATTAAGATTGAAAAAAAAAATGTACAAAGTGATGTAAAAATAAACTATTAAATTAAAAAAATATATAGATCAGGGCCCTCCCTGGTGGCGCAGTGGGTTAAAGCACAGCACTGAGAAGCTAAAGCCACTTCCACATGAGTTCGATTCCCACCTGCCCCGGAGGTGACCACATGGCGAGGCAGACCTCTCCTGGCCTGCCCGCTGCTCCCCTCAGCAGTGTACTTTGATCATCTGCCTGTTCTGCACCCCGCTCTGTCTCTGGTGAATCCTCTCACCCTCCACATCTCTGGCCTGTACCCTAGTTCTGTATGAACAAATAAATAAATCTTAAAAAAAAAAAATAGATCAGAAAGAGTAGTTGGAGAGAACAGACTTATTTGCATACTCATGGAGAATCAATATGCTGGAAGATTCTGAAGCCAGTGAGACAAATTGAGCCAAGGCAAGGGGTGAGGTCCCTGGCTTCAGGGAGATCAGAGGGGCTATCGTAATGAGGAGGTAATGCGTGTGCTGAAGACCGGGGTTCTCTGGGGCGAGATGCTGGCCCTGGCCTGTGTCCAACAGATTTCTCCAGCTGGAAGGCAGTTTCTCATAAAAACCTGAATTCTGGGTAATATTCATTTAGGTTAAAATTCCTCTAAACGCGCAGGGCTGTGATGGACCCAAGCTCTCCAGAGTGGCCCACCTAGGGGCCTGCCCTGATGTCCGGGGCGGCTTTTCCTGTCCCACACTGCAGGGGCCAGTGCTTCCTGCTGAGCTAGAGACACCCCAGCCCGGAGTGCAGGACGTCTGTGGCCCTGCCTGAGCCCCAGGGAGCTGCACTGAACCCAGTTTGAAGGCCTGGGGCGGGCGTTTGCGGTGCTGGGTGCTGCAGCAGTGCTTGTGAAATGAGTGCTGCGGGACCCTCACCACACTCATTTATAAAAAATCATTTGAGTAGCTCAGAAACATCAAGTGCAGGGACACAGACGCAGCCTCCTCTGGGGCCCTTTGCTGAGTGGAAACACTGAGTGGCACGTAAGTCAGTACTTGCCCAGGAACACAGGAAACGTCCACCTGGCATCGTTAGTGCCTTCAGGGCGACTTGGGGCAGCCTTCTGCTGTCAGCTCGTTCCTGTGAAGGGTGATGTGTGTGTGTCTGGGTACACATACGCGGGACCTGGTTTGAGGTCACTGAACTGTAGATTTTAATACACTTGCAAAGTCAGGTAAGATGGTCAGCGTGTTGCTGATCTAGGAGCAGAGACTCTGGGTGGAATTCGTCTGCTTTTAATTTGGGCTTGAAAAGAATCCTGCTAGCTTGTCACAATTTTGCCCATAGTATAGATAGAATTATTTGGCGATTCTTGAGAAAATGATCTTAGCTCCTGCTGATGAGTAGGAGCCCAGACAGCCTGACTGTAGCACCAGGCCCTGGGCAGACCTGAGTGGCTGATTTCCAGGGAGCTGCTGCTGGGTGTCAAGGCTGCAGCCCCTGGCTGTGCCCGGGTACCAGGAGGAGGCTGGACGGGCCCCTGCCCCACGGTCCTGCGTGTGCCTCCACACACTTGGTTTCTTCACAGCAGGACTGCAGTGAAGTGCAGAAATGAGTCTCAGAGAGCAGGTCCGTCAAGAAGCAGGGTAGAGCCCGCCCAGGTTGGAATTCTACAAGTTTTTATTTTTTCCTAAATGTGCTAAAGACATTAGAACTACGGTAGTTGAATTCCCTCTGCTGAGCTGTGACTGCTCGCCAGACTCCCCTGCCCAGCTGCAACGGGAGGGAGCTCGCGAGGTGGGTATTGGGGGCTGTGCTGGTCCCATTTGTAGCTGAGGAGATCCGTTCCTTCCAGCGGGTCATAGTCCGAGAGAGGCAGGTTTATGGGGACACTGCCACACCCGAGGCTACATGATCAGGACGCGCTGGAGGGCAGAAGTGGACTGTGCAGGTGTGTGTGGGGGGGTCAGCAGCACTGGGGAGAGCAGAGATGGCCAGGCCAGCCTGGCCCGGGGTAGCCTGGTGGGGCTGACAGACCGGGCCCTGCTATGGAGGGTGAGGGGGACGCTCGGCCCAATGTAACAGGAAGAAGAGCAACATGTCTCCGGGCTGGGGCTGCCGAACTGTGTAAAACCTAGCGCGAGTCTTTTCTACATATTGGAAAATGGTTTAGATGGTTTTGACTGCTCTGAGACGACCTTTTTTTTTTTTAAACATTTTGTTTTCTCTTCCAGATGGCAATTTAATTCCAGCTTCAACCTCGATGGACGTTTTGCTAATGAATGATTTTAAACTCGTCATTAACGAAATGATATACGACGTGCGGTGTCCCCCCCGAGGTAAGAGCCCCCCTGGGTGGCTCCTCCACCATCCCTACAGCAGGAGACCCCTAGAGTCTGGGAGTTTGGTTTTGCCCCTTATGGGTCGTCTGCACAGACAGAGGCCAGGCTGTGTCTGTGCTGCCCTCAGCAGGTGGCTGGGTCAGGCTGCTGGCGGGAGGGGGGCGCTGGCCGGGCTGAACCGTGACGGATGTGCATGTTATAGTGGTTGCACTCACCTTGCTGATACTGCTGAGGCTCTGTCACCTCTTAACAGGGGTCCTGCCTGCTCGTTGGGGTGGGGGAGGGAAGTCCCCTAGCTCTTTCTGTCTTGGCATCAGCCTGGAGGCGCGAGGGAGCATCGCCTCGTCGCCCGTCTCCTGGAGGCGCCCACAGTGGCTCCTTTGTGTGGTATGATCTATGGGTCTGCTGCTCAGCCTGGCGCCTTCTGTGTGGGCAGGTGATTGATCGCCCACAACGTTTGCTAACGGAGAAAGGTCTAGTGAGAGCATCTGCTTTTTCCTGTGTTGGCAGATTGTGTCTTTTAAGAATTGGTCACTGAATGTGGGTGACCACATTTGCAGGTCCCAGTCCACACCCTCATTTTTAAATCGAGGTGCCATTGCTTTATATCCCAGGGATTTGCCAGTGCAGCGTCTCCGCCCTCAGGGGCGGTCACAGCAGCCCCGGCCCCAAGCCCGTTGTGCCTGCGCCCCCACACACTCGTCTCCCCAGGCCTGCCTAAGTCTAGGGGCAGCTTTCCAGGGTGGCTGCAATGTTTGTTTTCGCCAAGCCCTGTTTATGAGGGGCGGCATGGGCAGCATATGGCCCTGTGGCACCCAGGGAGGTGGCTGCAGGCTGTGGTGCCAAGCCTGGTGTGCTGACACACGTTTGAAGAAGCGTGGGCCTGCACCTGTAAAGCCCATGCAGGGGTGTGCACTCGGGCTCCTCAGAGCAGACATACTGGAAAAAGTACCCTTGCAGGCCCATTGTTAGAGTTCCTTTCTTACCCCCCTGATGTCCAGAGGCCATTGTGGGGGGTGTCTTGTTACAGGGCCAACAGATGGGCACCCCACAACCCCCAACCTTGCCCACTCTAAATAGGCTCTTCCATCCGCCGCATCATGACAAAACATCTAAGGCCTTGAATGGAAAGGGACTTTAATACAACTATTGTGCAATACAGAACAGACAAAGAATCTAGTTTCCAAATCAAGCACCCAAAGTGACATGTCTGCCCGTGGGTTAAAGTCCTCCCAAAAGGGACTGGCCCAAAGCAAGGCCTGAAAGTGCCACAGGTCTAAAGCACCTTCTGTCCGGGACCCATAGAGAGGGCTGGAAATGGCTCAACAAGTCTGAGAGAAAGAGCAAAATCAAAACCAAGATAAACCCTCCCCACAAGCCTCTCCCTCACCCCGGGCAGGACCAAGACACAAGCGCAGTTTCTTCACATCTCTGCTGCTCACTGCCCACCCCCACCCCCCCCACCTTCCTTCCGTCTCCTCTGCAGCTTCTCCCTGCCCAACTCCACCCTCCTTTTCATGGGTCAGGAAGCCTGGACCCTTTCCCTTGTCTAGGCCCCCGTTAGTCTCATTCTTTCTCAGTGACCCTCATGGGAGCTTGCGATGGGTTTGACCTTTTCAAGGAACCAACTTTTGGTCACAGAGATTTTACATTCCCAATGTCACTGGCGGTGCTCAATTCTGAAGCCTGCTTTTCCCCCTAGTTTATTAACAGACCTATTACAAGTGAAAAGCAGTGCATTGCAGACCTGCTTGGGGGCTTATTCCAGACCATCTTAGGGCAGGATGAGTGGAGTCCCCACACCCACAGGTGGGGTGGTGACCGCGGGGTGCCTCTGCGTCTTTGCTCAGAGCATCCAAGCGGTGGGAGCACTGCTGAGGTGGAGAGCTTCAAGTCCCTGGTTCACAGACTGTTCACCGCCCTGCACTTAGAAGAGCTCCAGAAAAAGAGAGAACACCATTTACTGCAGACAATCAGCGACCTGAAGGCGCAGCTGCAACCCCTGGAGCAGGTGAGGAAGCTGAGTCAGTCTGAATGTAAGGCCCCAACTCTCCATGCCCACATTTGCCCAGCTGCGCCTCGCCCCTGGTCTATGACAGTAACGTGCACAAAGTGGGCACTCGGGGGGCTGGGCCTGCCCCACAAACTCAGCTGGGGCATGTGCGAGGGGTGCCTGGGGGGCAAAGCTGGCTGATGAAGTAATAACTCTTGGGGCAGAGGAAGGGTGGCGTCCGCCTCGGGTGAAGTCCTGAGGCTTGTAGCCGAGCCCGGCTTGCAAGCGGCGGATTCTGTGGCGTGGTTAGCCCAGACGGTGGACGGGTAGTTTTGATTATGTAAAATCTGCTGATCTGTGTACCCGTCAAGATGTGAAACATCTAAAAAGATGCCCGGTAGAAGCCAACGCCTCCCCTGGCCCTGATGCTCCCCACGCCGGCGGGACCTGCTGGTTTCTGCAGCTGTGCGCAGGCCGTGGGCATCCTGAGCCCGAGTGACCTGCTTCCTGTGGTTGCAGGTGAGAGCCGGGATCGAGGCCCGTTCCGAGGCCCAGGCTAGTGGACTGCTGTGGGCAGGGCTGGCACTGCTGTCTGCGCAGGGGGGCGCGCTGGCCTGGCTCACCTGGTGGGTGTACTCCTGGGACCTCATGGAGCCAGTGACCTACTTCATCACCTTCGCCAACTCCATGGTCTTTTTTGCATACTTCCTCGTCACTAGACAGGTGAGCTTGCCTTTTGCAAAGAATTTGAGTCAAATAATGGGTAGTGAGATCTTTGGGCCTTTATTATATTATCTGGGTCCCTGGTAATGATTTCACAAGGCTCGGTGGGGATTTTTCTAAAGCACTAAGAAACTAAGTCCTCCAGGGAGATACACACAAAATGTTCTCTGTGCCATCATGGTAAATAAGACCTGCATTCCAGAAATAACAAATGCATTAGCTTAACTCCTGGTGTGGTAGCAAAACCCTCCACTCCCCTCTGTCCATGTTTGATATAAGGGGCACCTGGCGGCACTAAGCCTGCTCGTCATCCTCATGCGCTGCTGCACCAGGTATGTTGTCTGCACACAACCTTCCAGTGCACGTTTTCCTTTTTTGTTTTAGGATTATGCTTATTCAGCCATTAAGAACAGGCAGTTTCTTCACTTCTTCCATAAAAAATCAAAGAAACAGCATTTTGATGTGGTGCAGTACAACCAGTTAAAAGAAGAGCTCACTAAGGTACGTGCAATCCGTGGACGTCCTTTCCATCCTCTGGTCTAACTGCATCTTTGTGACGATTAGGAAGGACCATAAAGCAGAATTTCAGGAAGGTGATCATTCTGCTCTCTAGGAAAATGGGTCTATAAAGTATCCTGTGTTGCCTAAAAATTAGATCGTTGTTTGTTACCCAGATGTCCACTGCTGGGAACACTTGTCTGGAGTTTGTGTTGTCAGATTTAAAGACAATTGTCTTTAACATTGTAGTAAGAGATTACACATGAAAATAATTTTAAAAATTTATTTCATTTAGTCTGATAACCTTGACGGTTATAATTTTATAAAAATGCTCGTGTTTGATTCATCCAACTCAGGGATGTTGTACTTGGGTTCCAGGGCCAAAGCGATCACTGGCAATGGCTGTGTCCCTGCTCACTCTCTTCCCCCAACAGGCTACAGAGGCTCTGAAGCAGCTGCAACACTCTGTGTCTGCAAGTCGCCGGCCTCGATGAAAAGAACCTTTGGATATGTGTCCATTAGATGTTGAGTTTGAAATCTAGAAACAAACTGGCACTTCTAGAGTATCCAAAGAACCACTTGAGTATTTCAACAGGCTTTTTGTTAATAAAATGCTTGCAAAGCACAGGTAGTCTGAGATCTCATTCAAGATTTGGGAGAAGGAAGCACTGAGAAGCAAGCAGAAGGTAGGAAAAATGGGGGAAAGGGAAGGTGCAGGGGAGAGCGAGGAAGTAGTAGAATGAAGATGTGAAGATGGAGAAAAAGAGTGAAAGGGGAAGCAAAATAGAGGAAGTAGAAACCAAGTGGATGAGGACACAAGTGAAGAAGATGGGGAGGAGAAGGAATCGTAGATGGGGAAAGAGAGGAATAGGAAGTGAAGGAAAAGGAACCTGAGGGATTGGGGCAGAAAGAAGACTGGAGGGGTGGAGGATAAAGGCTGCGAAAAGAGAATGAAAGAAGGGGGAGTGGGGAGGAGATAGTGAAACAGGAAGTAGAAACCAAGTGGATGAGAACAAGAGGGAAAAGGCAGAAGAGGATGGAGAAGAGAAAGTGCTGGAGAAAACAGGACAAGGACTAGAGAAAGATGAGGAGAAAGAAGGGAAATTTAGATCACAAGGGGAATGGAAAAGTGCAGGGAGAGGGAAGAGTAGATGGAACAAGAGAGAACAGCAGGGAGAAGGGAAGGAAAAGAAAAGAATGAAGGGGAAAATAAAATAGGAGAAAGGAGAGAAGTACCAAGGCGAGAAAAAAAGGAAGAACATGGAGGTGAGACAGGAGGGGACTGGCAGGAGAAATGTAGAAGTGGTGGAAGAAGAGAAATAGAAGCATCCGAGGGGCGGAGAAGGCAGAGGAGGTTTAGAAGAGGGCGGAGAGTGGAGAAAGGAGAGATGGGAAAGCAAAGGGAAAAGGAATTAAGGTGGAGGGGAGAGAGGAGACATGAAAATGAGTGGCTGGAGAAGGAAAAGGGCACAGGGGTTAGATGAGGAGGGGAGAACAGAAGAAATGAAGGAAAAGTTTGAGGGGAAAGGAGACGGCAGCAGAATTAAGGGAGGGCGAAGAGGAAAAGAAGACTGGAGAAGAGAAGAGGGCAGAGTGTATATACAGGGAGGGAGACGAAGGGAGAAAAAGATCGGAGAAGTAGAATGGGGAAGCAAGAAGGTGATGGAGCAGGACAGGGAGAAGCACAACTAGGAGAAGAACAAAGGCAGGGAGAGAAGGGTGAGGAGAAAGGACAGAAGGGCGGGAGGCCAGGGGGGCCCACCTGCTCATCGCCGTCCAGTCCTGTCCTGCGCAGAGCCGCCTGGCCCCAGGGCCTTCCTTATCTTTGCAGCTGCGGCTTCCCTGCCAGAGGCCACCACTGGGCGACCAGAGCCTGTCTGCGGAAGGAGGGGCCCAGCCCCCCGGCCTTGGCGGGTCCTGCTGCCCTGGAGCCTCGGCTTGACCATAGGAACCTGAGTGTAGATGATGGTGGCTGCTCCTGCAGTCAAGGCCCAGTGCAGCTCTGAGACCCAGGTCTGATTACTTATGTGAATGAGTAAGGGACACAGATTTAATGAAACACTGGAGAACAATCACTTATAAAACCTTCACTCAATGAAGTTAAATTGGCGCAACATTTTGAGTCACCTGCCCTTTCCTGTAAAATCCAAGTCTCCTACGCACCAGTGGTCTGACTCTAGTGCCTCTGGGACACAGCACAGGCTGACGAGTGCCATCACTGAGACTTGGGGGCAAAGAGCAGCTTCTTGGTCAGCATGGACGCGAAGCAGGGCACCTGCTTCTTGCCGATGGCGCTGCGGTCCTGGCAGAAGTCCACCCGGCGCTGTGACACCTTCCTGTTGACCAGCGTCAGTAGCTCTGTGAACTCCAGGGCGGCCCCAAACTGCGCCAGCATCTCGCACAGGTCCTGGATGTACCACGAGCCGTTGAGTGTGTCCCGGTGGGAATAGTAGCCTAGACATAGGGCCCGTCAGGCTGCGCCCACCTGTCAGCTCACCCCAGAACCCCACCACGCCTGGTGCCAGGCACCCGGACGAGCTTGGAACCGGCCCTCTACGGGGGGCGATCCCCCAACCCCTGAGCATACTGCGCCCCCACACCCTGGCTCCGGGAACAGAGGCAGGGCCCCCAAGTCTTCTCACTTAGAAAAGCCACACAGGGTCTCCCTTAAGGAGCCCCCGCAAACCTTTGGGGATCAGCTTGTTCTTAAAGGACTCAAGTGCCAAGGTGAAAAGCAGCTGAGTCCATGGAGAGCCCTCCCAGACGCTGGCCCCTTCGGGACAGGACAGCAGCGCCCGTGGACGCCAGTGAGCAGCTCTGGGAGGGTCACCCGTGCCTGCCCGGGGGCCCCGCACCTTCGGCCACAGAGTAGCACATGAGGAAGTCGGCGCCGGCGGGCAGTGTGTACACTGAGGCCGCATCCACCTCTGTCGTGCCAGCGCCCGGGGGGGTTGGCATGGAGTCCACTTGGTCCAGGGGCTGCACAGGGACATCATGCTTGTCTCCCCGACACGCCTGTGGGAAGGAGAAGCTGCTACACCACCGAAGCCCTGCGGAGGGAGCCGCAGGTCCCCCAGGCTGCGAGCCCTGCCCACCGTGATGGCCAGGGTGGCCAGGAGACACAGGCTGGACTCGCCCCACAGGCCCAGCAGACATGATGGGGAGGGCTGCTGCCTGCACAGGACGGGCCTTGGCTCTCCAGGCCGCACACCACCAGTGGCTCTCACACTGGCCTTGCCCAGACCACAGCGTGCAGGACGCAGGCTCCTGGCACGGGGGCCACGATGGGGTGGGTGGGTGCAGGGAGCCTGGAGACAGCATGGGTTGGGGCAGGCCCAGCAGTTGCGAGAGGTGGGACAGCCAGCAAGGGCACGCTGCAGAGCTGGGGCTCAAGCATGGTCGTGTTTCCGTTACCCCGCATTTCAGAAAGTGTATTTCATCCAAAAATAAAATCTACATCTGAGTCACCCCCGCACACCCTCCTTCACCCAGGACGGGTCTGCTAGGGCGCCTGCACCTCGGGCCACACTGCGCGGTCAGCACGTCGGGCCCTGTGCGAGGCACGTCCCTGAGCACCCCCGTGCTCAGTGACTCCCGATGGTGCTGTGTGCCCCTAGGAGTCCACCTCCGGGGGTGGGGACTGGGACAGGCATGTAAGTGGTCAAAGGGTGAGAGCCATGTGACCACTTGGCCAAGCTTAGAGACCTGAGGGTGAGACGCCGCCTGACCAGGACAAGGGCTGCAGGTGGGACCAACCCAGCTGCCCTCCAGGGCAAGGGAATGAATCTCAGCTCGTGCGCCGGGGTCCCACAGCCGAATAAGCCAACGCAGCTGTCGCTGTGCAAGCATGTCCCCCATGGGGAAATGCTGAGAGAATGGCAGCTCTGAAAGGAAAAGCCTGGAGATTTCCAAGCCATCAGGTGAGCTTAAGTTGCTGCAGCCCCGTCACTGCTGAAGACCGCAGTGTCCAGGGCCTCGCCTGGCTGCTGACCTGCACAGCAAAGCCAGAGAGGACCTTAGGGATGACCATCCCAATGTCCCGCGGCCATGCGTGAGGCGTCCTGGCGTGTAAAAACAAGTCACGGGAACTCATACCTGGCCATGAGGCCCTGCTGTTTGGTCTCCTGCTTCCCCAGACTCGGGCTGGGGCAGAAGGGGACTCACGGGAACAGCTGCCTCCTCAGGGCCTCCTTCTACGGCAGCTCACCCCCATGTGGCGCGCACCGCTTCCCGCGAGACGACATTTGTCGGCGGTTTCCCGTGTTTTCTATGGCCACTTGGGATCTTTCCTCACTGGTGTCCCTCAGTTCTGCCCTATGCTGGTTTTTGGCTGTGTCTGGCTTGGGGAAACTCACCCCTCCCACCCCCACCCGTCTCCTAACACCCCCACACTCACTCAGGCAGTGGTCACACAAGGAGCCACAGAATCAACCGTGACTTTTCCTGTAGAATACTGCCCCCCCCAGCCCCTCCCACTTAGCTGTGTGGCACGGTGTGAGGTGTGGAACAGAGTGCCACGAGGACTATCAACCATTCCTTTTCTGTTCCAAAGCTTTGCAGATCAGACAGATGATGCGACTGGGGCTGGAGAACACGTTAAGCTTAACACAGGGCTGCCCAGCCCAGCACAGTGCCACTGCAGGCCGTGGGTGACCAGCAGGCTGCACGTCGTGTCCTCCATACAAACTGAAGAACCACAGTTCCTACACCCAAACATAAACCTGCCACATCACCCCAAATACAGACACCTCACTCAGACAGCAAACAAACCCTCCCCAATGCGGCAGGGGAACCGCCACCCGAGAGCTCGTGCCCCATCTGCTCACCAGCTCGCCCACTCCAGCCTGGGGCACTGTCCGCTCAGGCCCTACTCATCAGCTCACGCCACCCGGTGGCCCGATGCTGAATGGCCCAACCAGTTGCGTCAAGCCACGTAATAGACGCCAGGGTTCTCTGGGATCCATCCCGTAATTACTCCCTGCAACCTGCTCGGCCCGGGGCCGGCCCTAGCTCCTGACATCACACCTCGCACTTCGCAGTGAACGCGATCATCTCCTCACCTGGATGATAAAGATCTTTGGCTTTCCCACCAGGCTCTTGCACTTGTCCCCTTTGAATAGCTCTGTCAGGGAGGGGATCTCAATTTCTGCATCATACGCGTAGATGTGGCTGCCTTTGCCGTGGCTCAGGAAGACGCACAAGAAGCAGTCAGCATCCACGTGGCTGGAGTTCGACACTGATTCACAGGAAAACAGAAGTGAGATGATGAGCTGTCGCTTCAACTTACAGGGGAGTAAGGTCCCAGGGGAGTAAGGTCCCGTGTGGTCGCAGGAGCATTGTGGGCTCACCCTGTCTGTAAGGTGCGAAGGAAACCACCCCTTTCGCTCTCCCTCCAACAGCAACTACACCATACTGCTTCACCCAGTGCCTGAAGTGCAAGCAGCATTGGGACACGTTTTGTTAGCTCATCTAGGGCAGAAGAATGGGCAGCAGAGGGCTGCAGTGTGGCCAGAGGGGGCTCCCCCGCCATGTGTACAGCCGCATGGCTGGGTGTGGGGACACTGGGCAGACACCTGAGAGAGATACCAGGCGTACAACCTCCCACAACAGCCACCCCGTAGGATCTCACCCCCGTGGCAGAGAGAGAAATGGACCAGACACATGACTACCGGCCCATGGGGAAAAGCTCAGCGGAAGGGCTCAAAGCTGTGGTGCGGGGTGGACGAGATCCTCAAAAAGCATGTGAAAACAGAAATCACAGGCAAGATGACCTGCTGTTCAGGTGCCTCCCCCTTTTCTGTGAGTACACACTTGCGTACAAAAATGTGCTCATGTTGCTTTCAAAAGTCAACTGTTGTAATTGCTCATGTTATTATGGACTGGCAACTGTCGAGGCTTCAGGCAGCCCCTGTGGTCGTGACATGACAGGGCCAGGAGGAACGCCTCTATTCGTGGGCCCTGCCCAGAGCAAGCATCATGGCAGTCGTGTCTCTGCACCAGGACCACAGACCACCACCCAGCAGCTCCCGCCCTGGATGCATGTGTGCGGCACTCAGAGCCCAGCTCAAGAGGCAGAGCTGGGGCAGGCAGAGGCTGGCTGGTGGCTGAACACGGGGCGTATGGGGTGGTGAGCGCTGAAGAAAACCTGTCAACATCCTACTGCTCCACAGGCAAGTGCTGAAGGCCCGTGGCTTTCAATGATAATAAACCCAGGCTGTCAGGAAACCCACTCTGTAGTGACGCTGTACAAGTTCATGTACTGAGAAGCCAGTGGGAAAAGTGCAGCACGAGACAATTAAAAATGACTGCATGGGCCCTCCCGGTGCTGCAGCAGGTTACAGCACAGCACTAAGAAGCTAAAGCCACTTCAGCATGAGTTCGATCCCTGCCCCGGAGCTGACCCACATGGCGCGGCAGACCTCTCCTGACCCGCCCGCTGCTCCCCTCAGCAGTGTACTTCTCAGTCAGCCTGTCCAGCTCCCCATTTAGTCTCTAGTTAATATTCCACCACCCCTGCACCTCTGGCCTGTACCCCAGTTCTGTATACATAAATAAATAAATCTATAAAAGAAAAAGTGACTGCATGTTTAGCGTGTGCATTCAGAGCTACATTTTCCACTGTGAGTAGCAGGAAAAAGTGGCAGTCTCTTCCAGAGCAGCCGCTGCAGTCCCAGGCCAATGTGAACTGTGGTAGAGGCTTCATGCCTCACAAGGGCCTGTAAGTCTGGGGGGTGACGCAAGTGACAGGCACAGCAACCCCTACATCACGCGGCGCACACCCATGAGAAAAGTTAACAGCCTGGGCTGTGTGTATGGACACGGGAGCCCAAGCACTCAAGCAGGGGAAAGGAAGGGGAAGCACCTACCCTCGAGGATTCTCAGCAGGACTTCTTTTGCCTTGAGGTTATCGAAGCACTGCACTTCAAATCCCAGATCTGAAAGCCTGGAGAGAAAGCGCAAGTAAGCTCGGGCCTAACGCTGTCACCTCTGAGGAGTCCACACGCATTTCTGACCCAGACATTCCTGTTTCTTTTCTGGGGCAGGGGGCGAAAATCCCAGGTAAAGGGCGCCAGAAGCACAGCGCAGAGCCCAGCAGAGGGCAGAGCCTCCTGGCAGAGGGTTTACTCACACAGGTTTCAGTGTGAACGCTGCTACCTACTGTGGGAGGGTGTATGTACAACTGTGCAAACCCTCCATGCCGGGCACCAGTCCCTAGAGGAAAACCAGGCAGGGCTTAGGGCGGCTGCCCTCAATCTGCCCGACATGCCCTTGGTACTCTGCTGGGACCCCTCGTTGGCCAGGAGGGCGGCTACCTGCGTGTGAGGTTGTCCCTGTCGGCGCAGGTACCCCGCCGGTCTGACAGGCCAAGGCGCCAGAAGAAACGCTCGTGGTTGAAGATGAGAGCGATGCCTCTTCTCCTGTGGTCCATTTTGTACTTTTCCTCTGGATCAAACGTTCCTCTGAATGTAAAGTTTGCACAATGGTCAGTGAAGTCACATGACACAGAGCGTCCTCCAAACCCAAGGTCAGCAGGTAGGGCCACGGGGTGTCCCAGACCCTCCCCGCCCCCCGCTGGTGGGCGTCAAGACCTGGCACGGGTGCTCACGTCTCTCCAGGTCTCCCGAGCCCACAGCCAACGGCTCCCGGCTATGCCCACTACTCCCGGGGCCCCTGGGGCCAGGCACAGACTGGCCCGGTGGAGCCCTCATGCCCCCATATGCAGTGGGCAGTGCCCACCGGCCTGGATTTGCTCACTACTCCCAGACACCCAGGGACCAGTCCTGCAGTAGAAGAGTCCTTTACCTTCTGGGGAAGCCATCCACTTCCGACACGGTTTGCTCCAACACGGTCTGCTCCTCACCTAGCCGTGGAAAGTACATTTTGTTCATTGCTTTCTGGCTTATGGTAGTGAAGCACAGCAACCCCCACCCTCCCAGCCAGGCGTGACCCGGCCACTCTTGACCCTGCCACTGGCAAAGTCTTTTCCAAGGCCAAGGAAGTGCAAAGGCAGTTGAGGGGAGATGGTGGGAGTCACTCAGTCCCAACAATAAACCAGCCCCCCTCCCTCTCACCTGCCAGCAGGCTGGGGGTCGCACCCGGGGGCCTGCAGCCTGCTCCCAAGCTGTAGCAGCTCGGCCTGCCAGCCAGCACCACACCCTTCCACCTGTCCCAAGGCCAGATAGGGCCACATGAGCCGGTCGCCAAGAGAAGTGAGGACATGCACACACATCTTATTTAATGTCCACTAGTGTACATGGAAACACCACATGCACCAGTGGTCAGTGCCCTGACCGGCAGGCGGGTCCACCCGGGAAGTCACAGCTCAGGGGCAGAAGAGAATAAACAAATGTTCCCTCCAGGAACCTGGGCTGGGCCAGGAAGCTCCGAAGCCCTTTCCAGTCCAGGTTAGCTTACCCTTCTGCAAGTCATTGGCTCAAATTCAGGCCCAACCAAGAGGCACTGAGCCTCACAAGATGCTGGAATTAAGTTCTTTCACTCAAAAGTTAGAGAAACAGAGGACAACATCAGGCAAAGACTACAAAACAACAACTGTAATAATACTAAGTGACCTACTGAAGCTCAGAAGCACGCAGGTACAAAATCTTAGAAGGGAGATCAGGAACCAAAGAGATTAAACATGTGAAAGGCACACAAAGATCCTGGATGAAAAGTAGGCAAATTCAGAACTTGCTTTAAATAAACTGGCATAAGAATTAGTTTCAGATGTAGAAGATTCAAATAAAATGACCCGTTTAGAAAGAGGGAATGATGGTAACAAAAAATGAAGACACTGACAAAAATCAAACAAGATGAGCAGAGGAAACAAAACCAATTAGTATCCCATCCCACAAGTGAAGAGAAAAATGTAAGACGTTACTATTCAAAGAAGTAACAACTGGGAGTTTCTCAAACATAAAAAAAATGACTTAGGAACCGGCAAGATGGTGGCAGATAAAGACGCCGGGACCACTACACCCAAATTCACACGGGATTATATAAAAACAGACTATAGACTTTCATGCTACGAATATCAACCCAAATGAGAATGCCTTGGACTCACTAGAGGGAAAATAACCGAGGGAGAATCGACAATTGGGGAGTTCCCATAAGGGAAGCCGCACAGGCAGGACCTGATCCGGGAATGCCAGCGGCTTCCAACTCAATCTGCTCCTTTAAAAATCTAGGTGCCCGGATGCCAGGAAGCGCTGTAGAGGGAAACTGCCTGAGGCAGCAGCAGGGGCTGCTTGGCAGCCTTTTCTCCCAGCCCTGCTACAACCCTGGAGATAAACTGAGACAATCCAGCTAAAGAGAGGAAACCAAATCGTGGGAAAAGGCTGCAGCTCAGAACCAGAAACCAGAGGATACCCCAAAGACCTGTTGCTGACCTTTGCCCCAGCAGCCCCGACAAAGCCCTGG